ACACTCGGGGATACAGGCTGTGGCTCAGTCTGGTTCTTCTGGACCATGGACCTGTACTTTCTAGTTGAGGGCAGCAGGTGGAAAAGGTGATGAGTTTCAGAAGACTTCTGTCAGAACACTTCTGTTGGCACTGTTGGAGGTTCTCGTTCCTCTGGAGATCTTCATCAGGAGTGGTGCTTCACTTTTGATTAGACTGAACTGTAGATGCTACTGAGAGTCGTCCCTGTGATTTTCCCCAATGTTTTTACCACCCACTGGAAAGTGCGTAGGTCGACCTTACGCAGCAGGAGAACACACGAAAAATCCACATGTCAGAAGACTTCTGTGGCACTGTTGTTAGAACTTCATCATAGTGGACTGGGGATGTTGCGTTTTCTCAGTTTCCTCAAGTAGTAATGTGTTGTTGGGTCTTTCCTCACAGCTGAGACATGTGAAGGTCTCAGGACAGGTCTCGGTCCGGTCACCTCTCTAACTACTCAGTGCCGACAGGGACAGTTTGCTGGTTGTTTTGCCATCTTTTGTACAAGTCCAATATCTTCTGGTTTGTCACCATAGGCCAAATGTTACAACATCCTTCTGTGGTCCGTCTCATCGTCACTGTCATTTTTGTCCAGGCGTGCAGTCTCCTTCACAGATTCATCACTTGTTTTTGAGTCCTCCAAAGACCATTCATTTCTTTTTGTTCCTTCATTAAATCTGCAGCTCCAACCCTCCTCAGCACCTGCAGTCACAACATAACAGAGTAACAATCTTGTTGTAAAATTTGTAAACATTCAGTAAAGTTTTGTTTTTTCTCACCACTGTTGGAGGTTCTCGTTCCTCTGGAGATCTTCATCAGGAGTGGTGCTTCAGTTTCGATTAGACTGAACTGAGAGTAACAGAGATTCACAGACTGAAGGCTTCTCACTTGTGTTGGGCCAAGTCGTTATTGGACTAGGCTTCGTTCCCTCTTCCTCTCATGTGGGCGGAGCATCTGACGGTCACACACACCAGGAATGTTTCTGGATTCTAAACACAGTTAGTGTAATTTATTCTACTTAGCACACAGATTTAAAGGTATTTCAGAGAATACTTACAGAGGTTGTGGATCTCTACTGGAGCGAGTAAGTCATTAGTTGTAACGTTTAGAGAGATGACGATGATCCTAAAAGTACAATCAAAACACATTTTGTCATTATTTCATGATTGTTCTCCATTTTCAGAATACCTTGTGTTCTCACGTTAGGATCAGGGTCCCTCTGGTGGTGGTTCACTGCACTTTTGTGGATGATACCATGGACAGCTCCATCAGCGACACCTTTCTGTGAAAAGAGAACAACAGTCTTTAGTAATTCATATAAATATTACGTTAGTATTGATCTTTACTCACCAGGACACGCTGGAATCCGACTGGAACATTTGTGGACATACATATATAGACATACTTACACAGCGGCCTCCCCCAATCAAACCCTTTTTGTGGCACTGGAGGAAAGCATTAAGAGCACATGTACACTCCTTCTGTGGATTAACCACAATACTCTAGAGATGCACTTTGGTTTGGCCCTCCTTGAATAACACCCATTCCTGAAAAACAGGCTTTGTGTACCAATACTCTGTGCAAAGAAGCACGTACAATGTTTTCTCATGGAAACACACAGTTCAACTTAAACAGGAGAATTAGGGAGTGTCTTACCAGCCGACAAGTTAGTGAACAAACCCAAGTCTCCACGTCTCACACTTGATTATAAAGTAAAGTGCATTCATGATTAGTTACCCTCCTACGGCCAGTGGAACCAGCTCAAAGGAAACACAAGGCAAGGCGTACTATGCAGGAATCCACACACAAAAATATCAGAGGGACTTTTTCTCAATTACAGTTTAGTCATTGAGTACATTTAGAGAATTTGTTCATGTTTGTCTGTTACGTTCCTACATAATATTCCTTCTCTTTCAACATGCAAACAAACACAGCAAAGGAGCGGGAATCGCACCAGCGACCCCACTACTTCTCACCGTCTAACCCACCTATGCCCAGAGCAGAATGCAAGGCGTACTATGCAGGACATCTGTGACATCAGCTTCAATTTGGTTTATCTCTCACTATTTACTTATTACTATTACTCATCACACTGAACTTTCCTTTTGCTTTGTAAGACGTTTCAGAATTCAAGAATTTCAAGATTTTAGAAATCCTACATACTATTCCTTGCTTTCTCTTCTTTTGAAACACACCAAAGATGAAAAATGATTTTGGCACACAGCTACTACTACTACTTCACACACAGCTAAGATACTAAATGGAAAAACTATGTACATGAGGTGAAATCGGCGCTGGTGAAGGTGGTAAATGCTGCCGATGTGACGCTACCAAGCCCAGAGTCTGTGAGACTGAAGTCAGTCATCGTCTGAGTCAGGGTCTTGGGGCAGGCGGTGGAAGTACCCAGGGAAGTTTGCAGACGTCCCGGAAGATGTGGAGGGGGCGGGGTCTTCGGAGCTGTCCTCTTGGAGCTGGGGTCTTCCTCTTCATCCTCACCTTCATCTCTGTGGCGCTTGGATCCACCGAGAGGCAGGAAGTCCAGAGCAGGGCCCACAGGGGGAAGGCAAGGAGCAGGACGGCAGGAGGGCGCAGGGGGGACAGCAGCGGGAGAAGACGAGCGACGCTCCTCTTCAACGACGGGACCAGACGGAGGAGGAGGAGGGCTCTCTGCTCGCTGCTGAGGAACGGGGGACGGGGGGCCTCCCCCCACAGGCCACACAAGTAAATGCATCTTTTGTGTTCCTGCAATGAGGAGTTTCAATAACAACTGATCAGAGATGTTTGGAATATTGTATTTTCAGACTTTTTGAAGAAGTGCATTCAGAAACCATTTTTGTAACAGCAAATCATTTCCAACTTGATGCAGGCGACTTTTAACATCACTGTGAAATCAGTAGTGAAATCTGCTGTTCTGTACAAATCAAGAACATCTCCATGGAGACAAGCAGAAAAGTGACACAGTGCACCTTTACCTTATGCATTCAGAGCATCCTAATGATTTACCGCGGTGACTTTATGAGTGCTTTTCACAACTTTCAGAGACCAGAACCGGAGTTGTGCTGTCACAGTAAAGCTAACAACAACCAGCATGCTAACACACACTTCCTGATTATCTAGGGTGACCAGATTTTCAAAGTCAGAAACTGGAGCGATCCTGGTCTGGGGTGATTGGTAATAATCAAACTGTGAGACGAGTGCATAATTAAGGAAAATTGTTCTGCACTCAGTCCATTCATGACTAACGTGAGTCACTAAAGTCACATTTTCTTTGTGTTTTGGTCGTTTTGAAGCGGCTTTTCACATTTTTTAAATGGGGGTCCATGACTCGTGACTCGTCATTGATGTTATTAACATCAACACCGTTCATAATCATCTACAGAACATAAATCATAGGCTACAACCCATGAACCAGGACTGAACCAGGTCTAAAACAAGGCTAAACCAGGACTAAACTAGCTCGAAACCAGGATTAAACCAGAACTAAACCAGGACTAATCTTGGACTTGAGAGAAAGAGAGAGAACCCCAAGTCTGTGGAGCAGGGTGTCCACAAAGTGCGATCGGGTCCTTTCTCCTGCGGTCACCCGGCGGTCTATGTGGGAGCACCTCTGGGTCCCTCTCAACATTTAGTCCTGGTTTAGTTCTGGTTTAGACCTGGCTTAGTCCTGGTTCAATCCTGGTTTAATCCTCCTGGTTCAGTCCTGGTTTAGTCCTGATTTAGTCCTGGTTCAGTCCTATTTTAGTCCTGTTTCAGTCCTGGTTTAGACCTGGTTTACTCCAGGTTCAGACCTGTTTTAGTCCTGGTTCAGTCTCGGTTTAGACCTGGTTTAGACCTGTTTTCGACCTGTTTTAGTCCTGTTTTAGTCCTGTTTAGGCCAATTTTAGACCTGATTTAGTCCTGGTTTAGACTTGTTTCAGACCTGTTTAAGACCTGATTTAGTCCTGGTTTAGACCTGGTTTTAGACCTGATTTAGTCCTGGTTTAGACCTCGTTTAGACCTGTTTTAGACCTGATTTAGTCCCGTTTTAGACCTGTTTTAGACCTGGTTTAGACCTGTTTTAGACCTGGTTTAGAACTGATTTAGACCTGATTTAGTCCCGTTTTAGACCTGTTTTTAGACCTGGTTTAGACCTGTTTTAGACCTGTTTTAGACCTGGTTTAGACCTGATTTAGTCCTGATTTAGTCCTGGTTTAGACCTGGTTTAGACCTGGTTTAGATCTGGCTTAGTCCTGGTTTTCACCTGTTTTCGACCTGCTTTAAACCTGTTTTAGACCTGGTTTAGACCTGGTTTAGACCTGATTTAGACCTGATTTAGTCCTGGTTTAGACCTGTTTTAGACGTGATTTAGTCCTGGTTTAGACTTGTTTAAGACCTATTTTAGACCTGGTTTAGACCTGATTTAGACCTGATTTAGACCTGGTTTAGACTTGTTTTAGACCTGATTTAGTCCTGGTTTTGGACCTGTTTTAGACCTGTTTAAGACCTGATTTAGTCCTGGTTTAGACCTGATTTAGTCCTGGTTTAGACCTCATTTAGACCTGTTTTAGACCTGATTTAGTCCCGTTTTAGACCTGTTTTAGACCTGGTTTAGACCTGTTTTAGTCCTGGTTTAGAACTGATTTAGTCCTGATTTAGTCCTGGTTCAGTCCTATTTTAGTCCTGTTTCAGTCCTGGTTTAGACCTGGTTTAGACCTGTTTTAGACCTGTTTTCGACCTGTTTTAGTCCTGTTTTAGGCCAATTTTAGACCTGTTTTCGACCTGTTTCAGACCTAGTTTAGACCTGATTTAGACCTGATTTAGTCCTGGTTTAGACTTGTTTCAGACCTGTTTAAGACCTGATTTAGTCCTGGTTTAGACCTGGTTTAGACCTGATTTAGTCCTGGTTTAGACCTCGTTTTAGACCTGTTTTAGACCTGATTTTAGTCCTGTTTTAGACCTGTTTTAGACCTGTTTTAGACCTGGTTTAGACCTGTTTTAGACTGGTTTAGAACTGATTTAGACCTGATTTAGTCCCGTTTTAGACCTGTTTTAGACCTGGTTTAGACCTGATTTAGTCCTGATTTAGTCCTGGTTTAGACCTAATTTATTCCTGATTTTGTTCTGGTTTAGACCTGGTTTAGATCTGGCTTAGTCCTGGTTTTCACCTGTTTTCGACCTGCTTTAAACCTGTTTTAGACCTGGTTTAGACCTGTTTAAGACCTGATTTAGTCCTGTTTTAGACCTGTTTTCGACCTGTTTTAGTCCTGTTTTAGGCCAATTTTAGACCTGTTTTCGACCTGTTTCAAACCTAGTTTAGACCTGATTTAGACCTGATTTAGTCCTGGTTTAGACCTGGTTTAGACCTGATTTAGTCCTGGTTTAGACCTCGTTTAGACCTGTTTTAGACCTGATTTAGTCCCGTTTTAGACCTGTTTTAGACCTGTTTTAGACCTGTTTTAGACCTGGTTTAGACCTGTTTTAGACCTGGTTTAGAACTGATTTAGACCTGATTTAGTCCCGTTTTAGACCTGTTTTAGACCTGGTTTAGACCTGATTTAGTCCTGATTTAGTCCTGGTTTAGACCTGGTTTAGACCTGGTTTAGACCTGGTTTAGATCTGGCTTAGTCCTGGTTTTCACCTGTTTTCGACCTGCTTTAAACCTGTTTTAGACCTGTTTTAGACCTGATTTAGTCCTGGTTTAGACCTGTTTAAGACCTATTTTAGACCTGGTTTAGACCTGATTTAGACCTGATTTAGACCTGGTTTAGACTTGTTTTAGACCTGATTTAGTCCTGGTTTTGGACCTGTTTTAGACCTGTTTAAGACCTGATTTAGTCCTGGTTTAGACCTGGTTTAGACCTGATTTGGACCTGGTTTAGTCCTGTTTTAGACCTGATTTAGTCCTGTTTTAGACCTCGTTTAGACCTGTTTTGGACATGGTTTAGACCTGATTTAGTCCTGGTTTAGACTTGTTTAAGACCTTTTTTAGTCCTGGTTTAGACCTGGTTTATTCCTGATTTAGACCTTTAGCTAATGGTTTTCCTTGTAATATACTACTTTGTAATTTAATTATGAGTGTTTTACTTTTTATTTTAGTTATGTTTACTTAAATCTGCTCTACTGTAGCTATTGTGAGCCATCTGTATTTGATACCAAATGGATAAATAAATTAGGAAAGACTTTTGGGGGTTGTCTTGTTTTCAAATTACAGCTTTGAATGGGCATAATTTTAAGATTTACTTTTTTTTTTTTTTTTTCTAATTTATGACTAAATTAAGGAAATGCATATAGGTAAATTTTGCTTAAATCTAGCAACACACTGACCTGAAATTTGTATATAATGAGAAAATATTGCTTAGATTTTACAGTATATGAGCAAGTTTTGCTTAAATCAAGGCTAAATTTAGAAAAATTTTATTTATTTTGAGCTACATTTAAGCACATTTGTCTAGAATGTTTTTTAATAAGAATTATTTTCTTAAATTTGACCATATACTGAGAATATTTAGCTTAATTTAAGCAAGTTGCAAGTAAGATATAAGAATTTCTGACTTTTTTTTTTTTTGCACTAATGTTGTTAAAACTAGGCAAGAAAAACTTTCTTACCCCATAGGCAGATTATTTTGCTTATAACAAGAACATTTGTCTAATTTTTAGTCATTTATTTTTCTTGTTTCTAGTCAGGCACTTTTTGCAGTGTAAGGCTCACCCATGATTAACTCAAGCATATTCTATTCTTCTCTGTTGAAAAGAGTGTTCAACACAACCAATTACATATTTGTTATTTTCTTTCCCTCTATGGTGTGGTTTCATGACATGTCCATTTTTTTTTTACATATTCATACAAATCTTAATAAGTAATTTGTAAATGTTTAGTAGAACATAGACAAGCTTCACTTTAGAATAGCTCCCACAAAATACTTAAGTAAGCAGTTATAACTGATGAGTTAATCATGAGTAAGGCTTAACAAATCATTTGTAAATGTTTAGTAGAGCATAGACAAGCTTCACTTTAGAATAGCTCCCACAAAATACTTAATTAACCAGTTATAACTGATCAATTAATCATGAGTAAGGCTTAACAAATCATTTGTAAATGTTTAGTAGAGCACAGACAAGTCTCTCTTTAGAAGAACATATTGTGTCCATGAAGGGTGGTCGTCATGTGGTAAGCGTTAACACCCCCTGCTTAACCTATTCTAACTACCATGTACAAGTGCTTAGTAACTGATCAATACTGGGGAATAACCCCATTAAGAAATGAGTAACAAATCATTAGTTGAGTATGTGGGTTAAGAATTTGATAAATTTGGGTGTAACAATGCTTTTACATATTTAAAGTTGATGAGTAGTAATGAATTAGTAATGATTTACTAATGATGACCAAAGACATTAAATAATGTATTTACTAATGATTAAATCACATAAAAAAAATTAAGAGGTAAGTGTGTACAAATGATTAACCAGTGTGTTAAATAATGCTTAAGAAATGGCTGTAAGATGACTTCTTCACCATGGACAAAGCATTAACATATACATCTATAAATGATTAACTGATGAGAAATAATTAAGAGTTAACAGTTTACTAATGATTAACAAATGTATAAAATAATGCTTAATAAATGCTTAATAAGGAGGAGTTATTATAAAGTGCTACCGAAGGCAGTTTGGGGCCAAAAGCTGACATGGCCAAAAATTACATTAATCGTCAGGACCGGCCCTGTCGTTTCGGCTCAAATTTGACCAAATTTTCAAAATGCTCAAAACTGGCTGGAAACATCCCCAAACAACCTCAGATTGCCCCAGATGTAGATATTAGAGGTGAGTAGTTTTTGCTTGTGCCTGTGCTCCTTCTGCTTCTGTTCTTGCTTCTGCTTGTGTCCCCAATCCTTCTTGAGCTCCTTGCTGTGGATCCATCTTATTTTCTTTTTAATTTTTTTCTTCTTAATCTGGAGGTTGCAATAAGCAAAATACTTATAGCTTGGTCTATATATTCACATATTTACTTTGTCTTTCACATACGTCGTCCGAGTCCCTGTTGCCGTGTATATCTCCCCCTCCCGGGGACCCGGGGGGGTTATATTAAAAACACTCCCAGAGACTTTTTTTTTTTTTTTATTGTCGTAGGCAAACTTTCAGATTTGCGGCGGGCGAGGGTGAGGGGTATTAATAATAATATTATGATTATTGGTGTTGTTGTGTTGTTGTTTCATGCCACTGAACATGTCTTCCTCTGGTGATCAAAGCTGATGGTACGTGTGTTTTTGACTCTGTCTCTCTCTGGGGGTTGATGAAGATGGTACATTTTTGGTGGTCAATGCAGACAGATAGTGCACAGCACACACATGCTCTATCTATGGGTCCATTTGACCCGGGCACTTAACAGCCATATGATTAGGCATTACACTGTCTCCGTTCTTCGTGTGCCCTGTGGTGTTTATGCTCTTTATTTATTTGGAAACTGTTTTAACCCCAGAGAGGTACATTTATGCTTTTAATTTGAGGATAGCACAAACATCTCACTTGTTGTAGTTCCAACCAAGTCAGCTCTTTCTGGTGAGATTGTTTTAAAATAAAGACTAGATTAAAGGCCAACTCACATCATGATGCTTTGAAGCATGGCAAAATTGTCGCCTCCATTATTTTGTATGAGCTATGAGATTTTATTCATCTAACTTGAATAACAGAGCTTCTAACAGAGTAGAGCTTTCAGTTAACTTCACACCTCAAGGGAATATTGATGACATCAGCTGCATATCAATTCAAGGGTTTCAGTTTTCTGATTAGCTATAGGCGACAGTTTGAGGACATTTCGCAATTCAAAAAATGTGTTTTGTTTTGAATAGTTGCTTGCTATGGCAACAGTGCATTTTCTTTTTTTCTTTTAATCACTATGGAACCCTTAAATACCTTTGTCACCAATAGCCTGCCTTTTGACACTGGAAATGGATGGGGTAAGGTACCATCTCCTAAAATAAATTGTGGCTAAATATAATGGTATTTAGTTATCAGGTTGCAACAACATCGCGCTTTAAAATGGTCAAAAGAATGCATTTTAATTATTTCAGAATTTAGTCTGTTTTACATGTAATAACTGATGATTTCACGTCCAATGAAGTAACAGTACAGCAGCGTTGAAAGAAACAGGAGAACGTGGAGCTCAACCTGGCTCAAACCACTAGAGGGCGTCACAGACTGAACCAGGACCCTCCTCTTTTCACTGCAAAGAAAAGACACTTTTTAGACACTAGACACTTTTTTAACAACTTGGAAAAATAAAAGTATAACCTACCTTGATAATGATGCTTCTTGATATTTTTTATTTGAATGCGTATAACCATTCTTGGTGGTGGTCTTTAAAATTTCCGTGCTCCCATTGCTGTCTGGTTTTCTGGTTTCAATTTCCTGTGCTGTCTCATTAACTATCTCTTTGTGTGTAATCGTAAATATCTCACATCCATTTTTGTCGTCTGTTTCTTCAAAATCTTCTGTCAGGTTTTCAATGAAAGAGGCAATTTTTGTATTTTCATATCCGTTGTCTACAATCAAAACATTTGGTGTTTGTAATTTATTTTCGGCTCTATCACTGGTGTTATGTAGATCTTCAATAGGCTTTTTCTTTGACCATCCAACTTCATTCTGTGTCTTTTCAAGCCACTCTATGATCAAAGCAACATCGTTTGTACTGTCAGTTTCTTCTTTGTTTTCAATTATTGCTTCATTGTCTCCTTCCCAATCCTGATTACTTTGGGGCTGAAATTCAACTTTATCAAATTTCACTTGACTTGTTGTTTCTTGAGCTATTTCTTCCACCTGTATTTTGGGTGACTCTTTTTCAGCTCCTTTCTTCAACTCAACACTATCAAACTGACAAATTTTGCCAGTTTGTTCCTGATCAATATTTGCTGACATTTCTTCACATGTTCCATTCAAATCATTTATTGGAATTTGAACATTCGACTCACAACTACCAGAATTTGTGAAAAACTCCTTTTGTTCCTTATTACTGATCGGACTGATTTCTTCACTTTCCTCCTCTACTCTTGGTACCTCTCTTTTAGCTTGAATTTTTGACAAATCTTCATTCAAATCCAAAATGTAGCTGTAGGCATCCTCCTCATCTGAATCTAGTGGGGTCAGGCTGTAGATTCCTTCTTCAGAACTCAAGGAAAAGTGAAATTCATTAGCTTTTGTTTTACTGTATCCTCGATCCGCAGATGTATCCAGCCATAAGTGGATTTCTGGGTTGACCACATTGGCGTCTAAAGGGCTGGGAGGTTGCAGGGCACTTGAAGATTTGCGTTTGTTTTGCTGAGTGGAGCTGGAGGAGCGTTGGGCCCAGCGTTTCCATAGCAACAGCTCATGGCTTGTCTCAAAGCTGCTGATGAATACAGGTTGGACATCTTCTCTGTCCACGAGAGTCTCCAGAGATCTAAACTGAGAGATATGTGGAGAGGTCGCTGCTGCAGATAGATCCTGTATTGGAAGACAATGAATTTTTAAATCAGACTTATAACCAGTTCATTTTTTTAAATATACACTTTTTTTAAAATTAATTTCTTTCTACCTAGGATATTTTTACAAATAGCAAATCATATAATCGTATTTGTGTGTTTTATACTATTGAGCTCATTGACCAAGTAATAATTTCCGTGGACCTAAAACCAAATTAAAAGTTTAAAAGTGATTGATATAACTTCTCTGGTGGAGGTTCTCCAATCTGCTTGTCTCAGTGGAGATGTTATTTTCTATTCTGGAATGTTCTATAGGATGTATTAAACTTATCCATCTACATGGAGATAAGAATGCAACCAGGCCAAGTTACAGGTCAAATCTCACAGCATGTAAGGGTGTATGTATAGTTGTTTTGTTTTTGTTTCTTGTTTTTGTTGTTTTTCAAATACAATAATACAATAAATACAATTGCAAATTTAAAAAATGCAAGATGTATAAATTTAATGTCATACTGTGGAACATTCCCGGCAAAGGCGCAATATCTCTATGGAGAGTACAACATACCTCAACTATGTCTGGACAATGCCTCAAGAACATAGATACATATGTGATGATGGACTTCTCATCTGGATAGCTGCAGATCAAATCTAAAGGAACCGGTGGTGCAGTGTGTTAATCATTCACCCCTTAACCAGATGTTCAGTAAATGCATAATCTGAAGGTAATTATTGTATATTCAAAAGAGTACACATTATACCTTGAGGCTCCAGTAGAGGGGGTATGTCCAGGCTCTGGTGAGCTGTCCTGAAGGCCTGATCCAGGTTTTTCTCTGGGTCTTTGGTGAAGCTTTGTCTCAGATCAACTAAATCTGGGTTTATGGACTTTATCAGGGCTAAGAAGGCCAGACCACTTCTCCAGCTCCTCCCAAAGTCATGAACTTCTACCCCAAACCTACAATATAACCAAATCTAGTGTGAGACTTCATTAAATAAAGTTGTTGCATTGTTTATTTTAAATTTTTTTTTTTTTTTTTTTTGTATGTATTTATTTATTTTTTTACAGATTTATTTGTATAAGCACAATTCTTACACAAAGTAATTAAAACATAAATAATCATCATAAAATAAATTTTCTTTTTCTAACACATATTTTTATCATAATCCATTGCCCCTGTTTTGTTTTGGTAAATTCCTTCTGTGTAGCCAACTGTTTCTCAATGAGTTTTATGAAAGCAAGTTAAAACATGTCAGTTAAGTGCAGCCACAAAAAAAAAAAAAAAAAAATCTATTCAGACAGAATGGCATTTTCACCATTAAATCATAGTTCTTTCTTTTATATTACTGTAGTCTTATAGCTGTGTAATCTCTCAGTTGTCCACGTAGGTTCCATAGTAGTCCATGGATGTATACTATGTGGTCTTATACTTACTCTAATACAGCTCAAGATCATTCTAAAACTTTTCAGGAAAGGTTCATGTCTGTCCAATGGGACTTTTTTAGTATTGTACATGCTCAAATGAGTTTCTAGTTTCAAAACTTTTAGAATCGTTTAGCATCTGATTTTCGATACTTCTGACACCCTACTTCCTATACATGACTTATGTCTTATACTGATTCATTACAACACTAGATATAGAATCAAAAGTAGAAACACTGAGCCAAAACAATGGTAGCATGGCAGTCTTATGTAAGAGTTAGTATTTGTAGTACTCACTTGATGGTGCACCTCTGGGCCCACTGCAGCAGACTCTTAATGGTTTTCCCGCTGTATTTGGGGCTTTTTGAGCTTTTAGAGTTTGGTACAGGTTCATCAGTCAGCTCTGAGAGATCACTGCCCACGGATAAAGAGGAGAGACTAGAGGACAAGCGCCTGCGTAGCCCTCCTGTCATCTCCTTTACCTGAACCACAACACAACCAGACAATGAGTCTTTTGTAGAGATATATTTATATATTGTATGTAATTATAGTTATAGTGTAGTATTTTGTGCAACAACACTACAAAAAAATTTAACCATATTGCTGCTGAAGCTTAATGTGTATTATGTAATTAATATATCAAGAATTGTAAAAATATTCTTAACAAGTATGCTTATATTGTGTAAATCTAAATAGTATGTTGCATTTCAGCTCAACTCATGGCATTTTATTTTGTCTTTCTGTAGCCTTTGTAAATGCCTTTATGTGTATTTTATTTATTCTAATATATTCTTTACAGTTTCATTTTAATTTAGGCTTTTTGTACTGTTCTAGTTTATTTAGTAATGTTTATTCAAAATATAAATATACATAGCATCTTGTAAGAATGTGCACACTTCACTCAAACCTACTTTAAAACATATTTTGTGGTTCATACAGGCAAGATATATAGGTGAAGTGTCTTGCTCATGAACACAGTGACCGTATTCATTGCCAATAGCTATACCACCACCTTATGTAAATGTGTGATTGAGTGATGCATGATGGGAAAATAAGACCTGAAAATGGAGGATGATGTTCCAGATGAGGTTTAGAACAACAGAGGGCACTCCATCAGCCACAGCAGAGGCATCGATCCCCAGTAGCTTTACCTGAGTTAGAAAACAAGCAACAATATTTCTCCATATGAAGGTATAATTTGTAAAGGCAATATAAAAGCTATAAAACACAACTTACATGGCGGTCGTCAAGGAAAGCTAAGGCCTTGGAAATGTTATTGAGTCTGAAAATGCGATGAGAGGAGGATCTGAACCTGTAAAGCTGATAAAGCACACATTGTTATTAAAATAAATGTATTTTTGCTCTATTGATGATTTATAGTAGTCTGTGATTATTCTTCTTCTTTCATGAGAATAGTTTTTTTTTCAACTTGACTGTTCATCTTTCCTCTGTCTTGTAACGGCTTTGGATTGGGATTGTAGTAAATAAAGGTTGTTGCTAGTTGGGTTGTTTCTGCAATACATAATTATAGGTAAGTGCTGTGTATTCTTTGGGGCACTTTTAAGTATGATCTGCACTTTTTTTTATATGAGTTTTAATTTATTTTGTAACCCTGCAAAGATGGCCTTATACATACAGGAAACAGCACTACCATTATAGCTTTAAAGGTGCATTGTGTAACTTTACTGGTGGGGTTTATTGCGTTGCCTCTATCATTTCACAGTATGGTATTAAACCTTTCAAACCTTCATGGAGACCAAACCAGACCAAGTTACAGGTCAGATATAGGCAAGTGCTATAATTTTTTTTGAGCTATAAAACCACTCGTAATTGAATAAATGTAAGGTAATGCTGTTTAATATCATACTGTGGAACACTCAAGGCAGAGCAGTTACATGTCCATAGAAACAAGCAGGTGACGGACCCTCCACCAGAAAAATTACATAATGCACCTTTAAACCAAATACTTTGTCATAGTTTATTGCTATACAGGTTAGGACAGCCCTATCAAAACTTAGACTATACAATCATTATAGACTATATCCAAGTACAGTAACCAAAGCAATCACAAAGCATGCTAAATTCATATAATTTTTGTAGCACATGAATCAAATCAACATTTTTGTGACCTACCAGTTTACAGCCAGTCAGCTCCTCCAATAAAGTCATGAGTATCCGCCCATCCTGAATGTCACTAAAGAGGTTGTGAACAACTGCTGGAGGGTCCCGCTAAAAAAATTCAAAACATTTAGCAGAAATGTTTTGTGAAACTTAGCAAATATCAAGGTTTTCTGTATGAATTTGCTATTAAAGGGATTTGATCTGACACAGGGGTAAATTCAGTGGTTTGTACCTGTATGTGAATATACTGTACCTCCATTTTAAATGCTGAATGAGTGTATAGAATAACATAAAATAATAATAATCAGACTGATTATTTAAAGCTGCACTGTGTAACTTTTTTGATGGAGGGTCTGCCATCTGCTCGTCTCCATGGAGATGTTATTGCTTTGTCTGGAATATCTTGGTATTTATCTTGGTATATATCTTGCATATACTCCATAACATTGTTTTTATTGTCGTAAAAGCTTGAATTCGTACTATGAAAGGGCTTGCCTCTCCACAGATCTGACATGTAACTTGTCCCTGTGGTACCACCTAGTGTCTCTGTAGAGATAAATAAGTGGAATGCCATACTGAGGAACATTCCAGAGAATATCTTTATGGAGAGTATAAGTATAGGTATATTAAACAAGTATTTTAAGCATGTGACAATGAATATACAACTTAATTAGAGGATTGTCAGATCACATTAGCAAACACATACAAAAACCTGTTTAAAAAAGTTCGCATTAGCTTTATTTTAAATGAAAATCCCACAAAGAAAAGAGAAAACACTCACTCTGTTTAGGTACACGTTCATCCATCTGGTAAAAGTTTGCCTCTGCATCTCTTTCCTTCCATCTATTTACAAAGACATACTTAAATCACCACATTACAAATACCAACGTAATAAGATCATGTTGTATACGTTACCTTGACTGTTGTGCTTTGCCATTTTCGCCTTTAATAATCCATGATACAGGTGAGAGTGTTGACGGTACAAAATTCACATGATGAAATGGCAAAATGAGACAAACTGTGTCTTGCCTGAACACGCAAAGACTCCCCCCTTTTCCTTCAGTCAGCAAGTTTAACCCCACTGACGGTTGTAAAATATATGTTGTTAAAGGTATCCACACAAGAAGGAAACATTTGATAGTAAATTAAATATTAAATAAATTAAAGTTGCAATGTGTAATTTTTCCACCTGCTTCTCCCCATAGATCTAATATGCCGGGAATGTTCGTCAGGATAGTATCAAGTGCCCTATATTATGTAAAATCTAGGACTCTTGTGAGCTTTAAGCCATGTTATAATGTTGTTACCTCATCACAAACATACCTGGAGTTGTGTTTTGTTTCATTCACACATATTTGAGTAATCCTGTATTATTAATTTGAATCTCCAATGCTCAAAATGTTCTTTCCCTCCTTGTGATGTCAAAAAGTGGTAGTTTTCAAGTTAACAGCTATACCTTTTACATTTAGTTCAGTATAGGACTGAACTGAAATTATCTAAACAATTCTAGTAAAGGTGAAGGAAGTTTAAAAACACAGTGATGTTCTTTCTGTATTACCACATGATCACAAAGTGGAGTGTTTTTCTGAGAGATAAAGGGTTTGTGTGTTAAACATGATTGAATGAAACAAAACACAACTTCAAATATGCTTTGATGAGGAAACAACCTTTACATATATATATATATAACTTATATTTCAAGTGTTTAATTCTTCAAAAACATAAATTGTTGTAAACATGCTTGACTCTCTGACTTTTAATTTAGCCATGTGGCATTACCTGCTTTTCTTCAAGGTGATAAGCTTAATATCATACCGTGGTGCATTGGTGATTAGTAAAAAATAACGCATTATAATTAATAATGAACATACCATTTGAATGACGCATTAGTCTATCTAAACTGTGGTTTTCCTAGTTTTCACAAGCCTAAATATGAGGAAATACTTTCTCAAAATGGTAAAACAGAACTACTAATTTGAATCCAAACTCGGGCAGGACTAAACAAGAATAAAACTATGCAGTATCACACTATCATTCAGGACTTAAAATGTGCCAACCTTTGAGATGAAATATAGTACCTTTTGGGCTGTTAACTGAAAACTACCACATGACATCACAAAGTGGAATAGAGGATTTTGAGCTATGGAGATGTAAACAAACTAATAATTAAGGATTACTTAAATAATGTGTGAATGAAACAAAACAGAACTTCAGGTATGTGTTTGAGGAGGACACTACATTGGAATACGGCTTGAAGCTCACAAGAATCAATTTTGTGTAATATAGGAACTTCAAAGTTCAAAACCTTTATCCAGCATCACTAACTGCAGCATCAACTCCTTTCTCCTTGTCATAGCTCAGTGTATGTGAAGGTCTACCTTAAGTATTATCACTTTATCAAGTTCAAGAAAATGTGATCAAGTACTGAGCAAAAATATTTGTTGATGATGTATGCAATTTCTCTATTTAGGGGCTATTGAGGGTAGACTTATATTACAACATTTGTCTGATAAGTGGCAGCCCAAGTGTTGTAGTATTAGGCAACTGAATCAACTGCAGTTGAAACATGCTGTGAGTATGAACAGTAAATTGATTATATACAGTTTATGATATACTCTACTGAAAATATTCTTTCTGAAACCCAAGTCAAACAAAGACAACAATACTTTTAATTGTATATTTATATATGAACTTTGCACTGACAGCCCACCACCAGAAAACAGCATTGCTGTACTTCTGTGATTCAAAAAATACCTAGAAAAAAACAGGCATTCTAACTATGAGGGGAGTTGCCTCTCCACAGATCTGACCTGTAACTTAGCTTGCATGAAAATAGAAAGGTTTAATAAATAAATATTGTAATAATGTACACAACCTTTGATGGACCCTCCAAGAGAAAACAATGTGCCTTTAATATAAAGATATTCTGAATTTCAATGGGACGTCCTGGTTAAATAAAAGTAAAATTTGTGTTCAAGAAACCTTAGACATGTGTTTCTGTTTCACAGACTGGGTCTATATGCTGAATACGGGCAATCTTAAACTATATATTAATGTAATATAAATTAACAATTTTTATTCTAATACAAATACATAATAAATTAGACTACAGATAAAATATGAATATAAAATTACAAATTAGAACATTAAAGAAGAATATTATATTTTATAAATATTTATATACTTGATTTATAAATTCTGTTCTACCCTCAAACCGTATGGATCTGTTGCATTGTTCTAGTGAAAGGCTGACTATTTAATAGTCCTTGGAGCTAATGTGTTTTGAGAAAATATCATGTTTTACATTCACACATTTTATTGTTTCACGACAGTGGCTTGTTGAGTAAACACAGCAGTGTTACTGATCATGTAAAATACTTCATACAAACACATAATTCTTTTTGCTTTCTGGTAGAGTCCATCATCTGCTTCTCGTAGAGTTAATTATTTCTTTGTTTAGTAGTAGTAGTAGTAGTAGTTTATTTTCTCCGGTCATGTACTTAATAGACTGTTATAAACATTTCACATAATGACAACAATGACAACTATGACTGAAGGGGTTTAGCCTGCAGTGAAATCGTTTACGAATGCCTAACCCTGTTTACAAATTATGAATCCAAGAATACAGCTGTCAGCAAACAAGCAAAAACTTAGATAGCACAGAGTTTAAAAAAATACATAAACATAATAATAATAATAATAGTACTCATGAGTTCAGTACAGCAGTTCTTCTGAGTGAACTTTATCTCACTTCCTACACTTAAAGAAAAAATTCTAAAGGCTCAGGCATTTGTTAATAGACTGCTGACATTTTAACATTATAATCCATTGTTTAAACAATCCATTTCATTGGAATTGTATTCTTTTAATTCTTTTAATTCTATTCTATGCAAACTGCTAAAGGAACAAATAACTGTTCATGTTTATGTAATTTACCATTGGGAGAAGTATGTTTTTTCTGTCCCTGCAGATAGGCTATAGCCATAGGGGAATGGCTCTCATCACTAGGATTTTTATTATTGTATTGTAAGATAAGTATTAAAACATTTCATACTAAAAATGAATCTATGGATCTACAAGATGAGTTTTGTGACAGCCAACAGTGTCTGACAGGAATCGCTTCCCCTGATCCAGACAATATCCAGCTGTTGACCTTTGTTCTGCCTGCCTCAAGAAAGGTCATGGCTACAGTTAAAAGCCCATCACCACCGTGGGAAGCAGGGGTCTGTTCGAGGAACATCGCACGTGGAGCTCCCGAGTCTCCAGTAGTCACGCCTTTTCATTCCTTGGTTTAATTTCTGCAGCCTTGAGGAACCCACCAGCAACAGCATGTGCAAGGAGTTACTTTACAAGGCTGCAAGAATAAAAAACATTTCATGCATAAACCAAATAATACCAAATTAAAAGATGTCATGTATCAAAGACATTTTATTAAAACAGTAAATATTTTCTTAATTTCGACAACACAAACTAATAATGGCCAGAGGGGAACTTACTTTTGCCTGTTAAACTAGACAGTCTCTTAACTGCTCGAATTAGTTTAGTCTTTTACATTTTAACTGAACATTCTCTGACATTTCATGTGACAGCTTCAATCTTGTCAGTTTGAATAAAACTTTGTAAATTGACTGCTTTTTTTGTATTAGCTTCACAGAATACATTTTTAACAGCAAATGTAAAAGATAATTGATTACATACATTATGCTGAGAAATACTTCAGGGAGATGTTTAAAATGGCCAGGACAAATATACAATCTTTCCCAATCATGACTAGGGTCTAGAAACTGGCGCCTAGTTTTGCCCATTTAAGTTATCGACGGTCTTACACAATCTGTATCAGTTTGTCGTTTAAAAGTCATTTCTTTCTCATGATGAAGCTTGGGACCTCAGCATCATCCTCTGCCTCACGCTCCTCCTCGTCCTCCTCTTCGCTGCTATCGGAGGTTTTCTCATCACCATCCCCTTCGTCATTTTTGTTTTTAGCATCTTGTTTAGCTTTCTTCGCAGCTAACTTCTTTTGCTTGAGTTTCTCTCGTTTCTTCCTCCGTTTGGCCGTCCTCTCCTCCGCTGCCTGCTTGTTCTTCTCCAGCTTTTCCAGATATGCTTCGTTTTTATTTTGGACTTCAGACATTTTATCGAGAAAGTCTTGTCGTTGGTACTCTCTGCGACGGAGGTGACGGTAAACGTGAAACTCCCCGCTGCCTGCCCCGGCGCTTGAACCCATCACGTCCCTCACGAACTCTGGTGGAGCCCTCGGATTCCATTCTTTTGGTCGGTCTGGGATAGGAGCAGGCTTGTCGGGGTTTCGCATCAACTTTTCCAACTTTAATCGTTGTTCTTCAGCCGGGGTTTTGGCAATGATGAGCGGCTGAGGCTCTTTTTTAGCCGGTTTTCCAGCTTTGTTGTTGTTCTTCTGTGCGTCCACCGCCATGTTTCAAAAAGTAGTTTTCCGGTTTTCAGCGATGCTCCGGAAGCACTTATGTTCATCACGAGTTTGCTAGAAATATATACATATATGTTTTAATAAAGAAATGTATTACATGTTAAACCATACATTTTTGGCCAATTTTAGTATGTTTTAATAACTTATTTTACAAAAGTACTTCATCAATTTGTTTTTATTTAGCTCGAGCCCGCCCCTTTTTCTACTTCCACATTTGCACTCAATAACTTAGCAATAAAAAAAATAACTATCTATCGCAGATATTGTGTAGTATTAGTGAATCTTTATAGATACATTTAAATTTTAAAATACGTTTTAATGAAATTTATTCATGTAACTTTCGTGAGTGAAGGGTTGATTAGCCAATAAGAATTCATTATTGTCCATTGTCCCGCCCCTTCCATGCAGCGTGGACCGAGCGTTGAGTAAGAGCTTGCTGGCTGTCACCCTTGTAGTAAATTTAGACCTCCTCTTCCTTTTTAGTTTGTCTGTTTGGATTTAATCACCTCAGATAAAATGAATAACTTAATGTGGACGGCGGGACGGTGTTTGCGGTCCGGATCGGCGGCTTTTTTCCTCTCTAGACCGGTGGACGGAGGAGTGCGCCTGGCCTCGGCTCGGCTCATGTGCACTGCTAGTTCGGACATTCAGAAAGACCTTGGTGAAATGGTGAAGAAGGACAAGGTTGTGGTGTTTATGAAGGGGACACCTGCTCAACCCATGTGTGGTTTTAGCAATGCCGTGGTACAGATCCTACGAATGCACGGAGTAGACCATTACGCTGCCTACAACGTTTTGGAGGACCAGGATCTCAGACAGGGTGGGTTAACCTAGATATCATTTGTACCATGGCTGCAACAAGTAGGCTAACTCCATTATCCTTACCTGACCCCCCAGTATTTGGAGAATACGACTCTGTTTTTTCCACCTATTTGACCTTTGTGATATTAAAAGTAGCCTGAATTACCTGTAATTCTTGTTATTTTGTTTATACAGTCAAGGTAAAGCAGTTGGTATGTCACTTTTGAGATGCCCAAAGGAGATGTTTTATCAGTACACAACAGCAAAGGGCGTGGTGGTTGAAAAAAACGATGGTTTTAGAGTTAGTTCAGCAAAAACTAATAATGACAGAGCTCCAAGCTAACAAACTAACCTAAACACCATAAGCGGTCTATAAAGATGGAGGGTACATTAGTCATCCTATGTGGGTTCTTGTCTGGTAGCGTAGCATATTGAGTTTTACAAGTACTGCCTCAAATTCAATTCATTTAACCAATTTTAGCTCTCTAAAATGTCATAAAATAAGTGCATTACTATTGTCAATATGATCAGGAAATGCTGGATAGAACTATGGATGCTGTTATTCCATAGTTTGATAAATATCTCACAGAATAATAAAATAAATAAAACAAATAGTAAACTATATGATGTGATCATGACATGATGATGTGATGTGACATAAGACTACCTTTTTCACACAGTGGTTCCTTGCCATACTAGAACATTGAAAAAAGATGAACAGTACTGTTTCTAATTTTATCCACTCCACACACAAAGTACATTCATATTTTCTTGGCATGTTGTGGCCATAAGGAACAAGGAAATGTGTCACAGAAAGGAGAACTTTCTGGTATTGTGTGTTAGTCCAGGTTCAGGATAATAGGACATAATCTGATGACAGTGACACCTACGCACTGCAGTGACTTGGCAAAATATACAGAATCTTGGCTTTTATTGCTTTATTGCTAGTATTTAATCTTTCCCCTCAAGACAAAATGTTACTAAGGTTACATGAATGAAAGGCTACAAAACTATAAGAATGAAGACAACTTTTTAAATACATTTTGTAGTATCATGTGGACTGTATGTGTCAGACTCTGTATTGTTGTTATGAGCATGTCCTGTGAGTGAGTTGTCTGATACCGATAGTTGTCTTGCTGCTCTGGCTGGCCAATGACAAATGCCATTACTGGTAATATGAAGTTCACAAATTATTCCTAGCATTACACATGGTCGCACGCCGTCTCCAATGCATTTGGCTTCAGAAATATGATGTGAAAAGCTGCTTCTTTATCATAAAAAATGGTGACAAAATGAATTTATTTGTGATATAAAATGACAATAGTTTGTTCAAAAAGACAAATTGGATGCACTGAGAATGGGGGCACTCTGAGACAGTAGGCACCTTGGACAAATGCAGATATCTGGGTTAGAGCCCGACCGATAGCCGATATGCTTCCAGGTGCGCATATCGGCTGACAATATCCACCAACCGATATATCGGTCGCGCTCTAATCTAGGGAACAACACCAACATCACCTTGTTCAGAGAGATTTAGACAAAACAAATAACTGTCAAAGTTGTACTCAAGTAAGCGTGTTACCCCAGAGTGCTATGAAGTGGGATAAAATATTACATTTAGTAACAACTATCTCAAGTAAATGTAATTATTAATCAAGTCTTACCTCTTGTCATTTGTTTCTTCAGGCATCAAGGTATTTTCCAATTGGCCCACGATCCCCCAGGTTTACTTCAATGGCGAGTTTGTGGGAGGCTGTGACATCCTACTCCAAATGCACCAAAATGGAGACTTGGTGGAGGAGCTGAAGAAGCTAGGCATTAGCTCTGCTTTACTGGATGCCGAGAAGGAATCAAAGTAAAGACACAATAAGGGACATTTGAGGATACACAGAGACACAAGGACATTGAGGGGTGATAATCCTGTTCACATTGTTAAACAGGAACACATTAGAGTGTGCTGCTGGTTTTGAGATGGCATAACATTCTTTACTATGGGAGTGTTAAATTGAGGAGAGGGCAGGCAAGATGTCTATTGTCAGTTTTGTGGTCTGGATAGATAGATAGATAGATAGATAGATAGATAATATGTAGGGATAATAGATTGTAACATATGTACCTCCAAGATATGTTTTTGTTTTTTGGATATTTCAAGTGAATTTCCTCGTGCCTCCCCCTTTCAAATATGTGACATCATCTACAAATTGGAAAGAAGCAAATTTCTGTGACATCAAGTCTTTGGTAATTGTGTTATTAAAGAAATAGTCCTGTATTTTGAATATTTGTGTTAAATCTGCTAAAAGTCTGAAGCCACATTTACATTTATGGAAATATTAAGCTAAGTTAGTGGTTTCTGTGGCCCCATAACTGACAATAATTCACTGTATGGAATAAAAAAAATTAAAGAGCCTATATTGCACTACTACTATTAGGATCCATGGTAATTGTATTTTCCCATCAGAAACCTAGAAACTAACCAGAAAACACACCAGAAACTTCCAATGTAATGCTTCACTCACCTTATTTATATATTCAAAGGTGCAGGTACATTGCGAATCAGGTTACCCTTGTCGTCTTTACCATTTTAAATATTTGCCTTCTTCATTCACTGTATCCACTTCAAAACCAAAGCCACAATTACAACTCACCTCTATTACATAACCACTACTCAATAATCTTTAAACCTAAATCCAAATGTGTCAATGTTGTGACATTACTACACCTTCCAGAAGGCAAATGGACAGGATTTTTAGTCTATGAACACATCTCAGTTTCTGCTGTACAGTTGTATTATCATGTAGTACACTGTAAAATATTGTACATTTAAAGTGTATTATCAAATGTATTTTAGTTGTATGAGAACAACTTGAGCACTATTAAATATTTTGACACAAAAGTTATTCATTCTGTGTATTTTTTGAGTTCATTATTTCAATTATTATAGACAACATAGAGCCTACAGACAATATTTAAAGTGAAATGTTAACCTTAAACGAAGTCAAAATATAACCATTTTGAAACATCAGCTAAGTATGTGCAACCCTGCTCCATGTGAAACTTTTCAACATATTACAGCACAGTGCCAGTCTGTTAAAAAGCTCCTTTTAAGCACATTTAAATGAACAATAAATGGCTTTAACAATGTTGATTTCAATTGTTTTATTACAAAACACTATATACAAAATGTAGGCAGAAGTACAGAAGATGTATAAAGCATGTACAATCCACATCCCGATAATGTTACAGTTGCAGTGGGTGATAGTGGCAAAAAAAAATATTGGGATTTTTTTTTATATTATGGCAATCAGTAATATGCTAAATAGTGCATGTTTGAGGTCCAGAAAAGAGAAAGGACTATAAAGTTAACCACAAGCGTGCAGAAGCTTCATCCTTGTTTGGAAGATTATACTGCACAAGCATTCATTGTTTTTTCAACGTATTAATTTTTTTTTTTAAGTTTTTGAAAGAAAATTGACGGCATATTCTAGTTTTGCATCTTTCAAAAATAATAGTTGTGATATAATACACTTTTCACATGTCCCACCTCTATGTAAGGGTGAACTTTTTGTGTAGATAGATATTTGAGTCATTCTTGGATGTCTTCTGGGAAATCTATCAGGAGCAGTACAACACTTGGGGACCC